CGCCCGCCCTCGAAGTGGACTAACCGCCGTTTCGATGAAAATCAGCGCTCGGTTTGGCCCGTTGTTCCAATACATGACAACACAACCACCCCGGTGATAGCTTGCTATGTTTTGTGTTTCCGATTATAACTGTTAGGGCAATCTGAGTTGTTGACCGGTACAGCTTGTTGTACGAATTTACCAGTGGTTTCCGATACCAGAACAATCAATGGGACTCAAACGTCTCTTCTAACTTTATCAAAATGTTAGTTTCTCACCGTCGTGAATGCAAATGCAAAAGAGGATGTTTTGACTCCATCATATAATAAAATCCGACGGAGCAACCACACGCCATTGTCAAAAAACTTACACGTTTATATAACGTAGTTTTTATTGCACAGTGCAGCTTCACTTTATTGGGAGCGCCTCTGTGTTGAGACTGAAAAAGATGAATCTTTGAGCTATACATACACAACGAAGATATATGGAAGTTCAATAAGGGGCAGAACTTGAACGCCACTCTCGCGAATTCGGTCTGCCAAATAGAACTTACAGCCTAAAATTGGGATATCATTGCGTTCTCCTTGCTTCTGTCCAACACTCACAGTTGATGCTAAATTACTTCGAACTAGTTTATATAATAACGATCTACGGGTACGAAATTGAGTGAATTTTATAGTGAACCTATAATGCCATCACAATAAAAACAACCGGGTAAATTAAATTCTTAAATGTCGTTCAGATCAAACACGATACGGGTTTCGATTGGACGATGATGACCCTATGTTCCTCTTCCATGATCACCTTCTAGCGTGTTTGCCGTGGACATATTTGTGGTGAACCAACTTTGTGTATTTATTTATAACTCCAACCTGGTAACCAATGCCACCCGAGCTCGGTAACCTCACCGGTACTATTAACAACCGGGTACTTTGCTGTTTTACTTTGTATGTTATACCTATAGCAATTCCACTAAGGTGTTCAACCGCAGTTTCACCGTTCACCCTATCTACTTCTACATCTTCATAACCTTCCTCGCACTATAGAACAGATGTGTAGAAATGTGACGGAGAAACAAAAACATGCAAATAGTCAACAAGGGCTCATAAAATTGAGAAGCTGTCACTGTTAGGGAGTAATTTCAGGCAGTTTTAATCCGTCCATTACCTACAATAGGTCATTGTCTTGTTAAAGACCACCGCGCTTTTCTTAAACAGTCCGGTTCAATTCATGTATCTCGGAGTAAAAGGACCAATTTACGCTTAGATTTTGAATAACAATATTGTCAGCCAATTCAACTAACCACATAATAATTCTTTTAGTTTAGAATGTATTCCAAGATGAAGTACTGATCCAGTAGTACATGTCGTTGCCGTCGGTTGAAATAATAATATTAATAAGAGTAAGGTCCGAATCACATTATCATTAAGTTACCTGCCCGAACAACAAACCCCAATTGAGGAAAATGAACTGTGGATCTGCTGTGCCGAACAGAATATAATTGGGAACTGTCAGTATAAATACCATTGTTGATATATTCACACAAACTGCCACTTCGGTTTGCTTTTGAACCGCCAAGCATGACCAATGCTCGTTGTACATTAAGAACTCCACTGCACCAATCCAGAGGTCCCAGATTCACTTTAGATCAATCTAAACACGGACATTTGTATCAATGATATTTGACTACCATCAGGCAGTGAAATATCGTAAACAGATCATGATCCCGTTGTCGCCATCACCATCATGAACGGAGAAAAATGGGGACACACAATCCATCTTGCATCAGAGCACGACGGATCATTTGACTGAATGAAAATAACCAAAAACGTGTCTACATAGATCAGAGCTCATTCACTTCAGCAACCGCAGCATAAGCCAGATCATCTTACGATTCCGGAAAAGAAAATACCTAGGACTATTGTGATTCAAAAGGTTGAATGCAAAAGCCAGATTGTCGCACAGCAACCAACCACATCGAGCATAGATATGATAGTTTCATGGTGCGAGCGGGCTTTATGCGTTGTTGAGATGGATTCCAAGGTACGTTGCATGTATTGTAAGCTGGTCATGCTTAATTTGCGAATTGTAGTGAAAACTTTGCACGAAGGGATCAACTGTGATGAACTGCCTACATTCTAACCTTACCCCTGTTAATTCCAACCAATCTGGGTTAATAAACTTAGTCATAAACGGTGTGCTTGTCTTCAATTCTACTGGTTTCGATTGTTTCGCATTCCTTGTAGCTACTCACATGCATACAATGACACGAGAACTACGTGAGAGACTGTCAAAAATGCGTGAGGGCGGTGGAAGTGGCCTGAAAGCGGTTCCAACACCAACTACTTCGAATGAGAAAAACTTTGGCCGGTTGACTAAATACGACAGCAAAGACGATATTGCCGATTGGCTTGTCGCACGACGGTTTCCCCCCAAGTAAGTGTAAAACAAAGCAATGAACTACTATATACTGATTAAGTAGTATGCGTTGAAATGTGAAATAATGAATTTTTCATTGTCTCCATAAATGATTATCCAAATGATTATCAGCACTCAATTTGACAATATACCGCTTCTCATTAAATAATGAACGTAGCAAGTGACCGGGACGTATGCAAAAGAAATGAATATACATCATAACTTTCATCAAACAATTTATTCGTCGCACCAACTGGACAAAAATATTTGACCCAGGAAACTGTATCAAGATTTGTACACACACGATAGAAGAATTACTGCCAAAAAATAAGATGCGAATTGAATTAAGTAAACTCACAGGTACTTTATTACTAAGTGATTCCATGTGTGTGAGACCCATAGAGACAGACCTCTCTGTGACCGAGTTTCGGTAATATATTGGTGGTCACCTGCCGACAGCAGTCCCGTCATAGTCCAATTATCCAAGTTTGACTTGTGCAACAAAAAAGGTGAATGAGCTATGACTGGCCATGCTTTAAACTCGATATTCATGCATAATCCTCAGCACATTCAGTCAAGCAAGTGCTCAGGAAACATCAGACAAAGGTTTCCTCTCTTGTTAGAACTCATCAATAGTGCACATCCAAATCAGCGTAAAAGAAATCTAACCTAAATGTTTCCTTTCATGCCAGGCGTCCGGAGTCCAACTACCCGTCACTTGGAAGCGTACTACTGATGAGTTCTAACAAGAGCCAAACTTGATTCTGAAGAATAATCAGTAGTTGTGATCAATAAGTTGCACTCTACCTAGTGCTAACAAGTAGCTTCGAGTTAAAAGTGAAGAACCAGTTATTTTATGAGTAAACCGAAACGTGATCATACGATCGTAAATGAACTGAGACACAATCCTGTATCCGAAAGCTCAGCTGTTCGATTCGGTTTTGTTTGGAATACCGATGTGTTTTCAATCAATACAACACAAACAGAGGAAAGATACGAAAACACCCACAATTGGAACATTTGGAGAAATGAGGAAATTAGCTTGTCTTAACCACGACGAATGAAAACCAAAACACAAAGGCGTTGGTGACACCAAACGAAACAAGACAAGCTAATTTCTTCAATAATCATGAGCACGACGCCCAGGTTTTTCAATGAGATCCGTTCCATCCATGAATCTCGTGTGATTAACTTGGAGAAATGTTGCAAAACAAACTATCAATCTTATCAACTTAAACCTTCGGGAGATACTGGCGAACGCGAAACCTTTAAGTTCTTGTCTACATGGGAGACTTCTCGCGACGAACTTTTTCAGATTCCTCGAGATCTATGCGTTCACCACAGCTATACCATGGTTGCCTGCAGTTTTGTGCGTAAACCGAAAAACAAACCAATTTGGAAAGAATGTGGAATGATTGTAGCTTGGGATGCGGATGTTGGTGTTGGTGTGTTCTCGGAAGTTGCACCGGCTACGAAAGGTCTGCGAACAACGCTTCCAACTCAAAATACACCAAAACGCACCAAACTGTCCGCTAAATCATCATGTAACTCTATGGTAAGTTAAATGTGCAATGAAATCAGATTTTCCACTGAGAAACGTGATTATTATCGACGAATTTGGGTGAATAAATCTAGTAAAAAGACTTAATATTGACCACCAAGCTGCTTGGCAAGAAAAATTAAAACTTTGAAGTTGGATTTATTTTTTGCGAGTAAATTGTCGAGCTTGGCGAACAGGCGAAATGGAACTTATACTTTGGAATACTGATTATCCCTCTTCCTAATGTGTCGCATTTTGTCTGTAGGTGAATCACCGCAAACGAGAATTTTCGCTATCGTGTGTTCTTCTTACAAGCAAGATATCTTAATGTCGACCAAAGCAACGGCAGATTCTAACACACGATCAAAGAACACATGACGAATCTCCTCGACTTTGGCTGCTTTCTTGGATGCCAGATGAACCATTTCTTTTGATGCCAACTTTGTAGCAGTGCGCAAATCCCTTAGACGCCAGCTCACTAAAAGCCTGAGAGAAGTGTTAGGTTGCAAAATGTAGACAGATGGGGGAAGCTGTGACTATCGGTACGAGTCGCGCTCTTTTCGGGTCTATTGGGACACAGGGCTCAAGGAGAGAAGACTTAAGTGCGGTAATGTAATGATTGTAGAAGTAGTAGCAGTAATACGCACGGAATTCGGAACACCAACCACGCAATAGGAATCACAGGACCCGAA